AGCTTGCCAAAAATCATATTATACTACAATCGCACCCTAATAATCAAGACGTAGCAAATTTAAAAAGCTTTACTACATATAGATTTTGTAAAAGTATAGCAGAATTGATTGCCCGGATATGCTGTATGGGTCGTGGGTGGAGAAGAAGGTTGCGGGGCGTAACATAAATAAAAGTCTATTTAAGCGTATCGCTGTTGAAATTGTGTCATGAACTCCGGAAAAGAAGACGCGACAACACAATCTTATACTTTTACATATGTATGCACAATCATTCACACACACGCCTGCACGCACACACACACACACACACACACACACACACACACACACACAAATAACAAAGAAAGTGAGTCGGTTCGTCGGTCCGTCGTTCGTTCGGTCGGTCGGTTGTTTGGTTGCTGGGTCGCTGAGTCAAAGGAGTGTGTCGTATCTACAATCAGTTTCAGTCTCCCAAGCGCTGGCATATAAAATTGTTTTGAGCAAAAATTACAAATTCCACAACTAACGTGACACAGCAACCAGAGCACCCCCCCCCCCCCCCCTCCTCCCTCTCCTGCTATCCAGGACGAGCATCCTCTATTCTTGGATGGTCCAGTGGCATTTATCGAAATACAAAATACCGCTCCTGCAGTATCCCTATATAGAGCCCGACCTCCGTCCTCCTTTCGGTCTGCTGTCCAGTCTCGCTTACCAAAATGTATACAAAATACCGCTTCTGTCCACGTTGGCCATCTTCATGGTATATCCCAACCCCTCCCCTCACACCTCACTCCCCACCGCCCACTCCGCACTCTTTGTGCTGTGTCGTGGGCGTGACCACAAATGTTTTGAGCCACTCAAATGCAGCTCAGAGGCAAGTGGCTCGCCATGGTGTGTGTGTGTGTGTGTGTGTGTGTGTGCGTGCGTGTGTGCGTGTGTGTGTGATTACGTAGCACATGGCCAGCGGCTGGCACAACAACAATGTACGAAATTTAATGCCAACAGCAAAAATAATGAAAGTATTTGCTTTGCTAAGCACAAAAATATGTCAAAGTAAATTTCACTTCATTTTTTTCTTTCTTGCTGGTATCCTTTCACTGTGTGTGCGTGTGTGTGTGTGTGTGTGTGTGTGTGCGCGTTGGCACGTAGCACATCCTTATAAGCCCTCCAGCTAGCAGTTGCAAAGTGTATACCTAACCAAATAAAATGCGATTTAAACTCTTGAGTTAAACACATAGAAGCTCAGCTGCATCCGAAGCACAAATTTCAAATTTGTTATTAAAATATTTATTGAGTTAATGCTCTCTAATTGCTTTTGTTTGCGTCTGAGCTGAACGGTTCATGATTTTGTTTATTATGCTAGGTTTCTAATTTATTTACATGCAGATTGGTTATGCAATGCTCTAGCTTTTGCTTGTGGCTGACTCTAGACTGTAATAGTTGGCATGCATATATTTTTATCTTAATTCAAGCCAGTTTTGAACCGGCCCGATTTGAACTCGAAATTCCACTCTTTATTCCCCTAAATCAATTGGGATGTCTTGGGTAAAAAATAACTAAATTCTTATCTGTTTCAGTCTAATAATATATTTTGATAAAATAAATATTTTAAATTTTTGTTTGACTATTGCAAAACATTTAGGTTCTGACATTGCTCCAATAATAGCTTAAATTGAGTAGTTTCATTAGGCAAATATAACGAAAATATTAGGAACCGAGAACCGACGATATGGCCCTCACAAAGAAAGGATCGCAAAAGACTGCTCAGCACTGAGCACAAGAAAACTCTGTTTGCAGATGTTCGATACGTTTGCCCATTTGCATGTACAATTGCGTGTGAGTTTCAAGTAAAAACTTATTTGATAGCTTATCATGAATTGTCAAAACAAAGACATATCACAAATTGAGCCCATGTCAAGCAAAAGCAGCAGCTCACTACAAGCTTGGGGATTATGATATATCACGATTATTGCTTACGAGTATTTTGAAATCTGTTCGTCTCTTTTTGTGTGTTTATTTATTTTCTTTTTGCCACCCCACCTTGTAGTGGGCCGATGGGTAAACAAGCGAATCCATCAATCAAGCACACGAAAGCGCACACAAAAGTGACCAGGGGATGGGTTGGGTCTGAGTTTGGGTCTGGGATGAGTGTAAACTGTACTCTGAAACTGAAACTGAAAACAAACACCGAAAGCCTAAAATCAATATTCACGTCTCAAACTCAGGAGAAATGTACACGAATATTGTCGTATGTTTTTGTGCCCAACCAGTCAAATAGGCAAATAATAAAGAAATTATCTTAAAAAATACATTTCTGCTTTACGTGCTGAACAGAAATGAATAAGCTTAACATTTTAAATATAATATTTACAATTTATATAGTATTTAATTTTTTCTAATCTGTGAACAATATTCCTTTTCTATTTATTTGCAGTGAAACGAAATTTTCGAAACGGAAGCTAAGTTGAAATCGTTAAATCCATAATCGAAGGTCGAGTTCGGCCGACAAACTGAACGCGTTGCAAGTGCATTTTTTTTGTTTTTTGTTTGGTTTCGGTTACTGGAGCACGCACAGAACTGCAGGCAGTTACACACAAACACACACGCGCGCCGTGTGTAGGTGTGCGTGTGCGTGAGTAAGCTGGACGCAGCACTGGTAAACATGGATTGGACTCGGTGGCAAGACGCTAATGCCAGAGACAGAGCTGGCAGCAGCAGTATCTGCAGCATCTGCAGCAGCCTTTGCGATTGCGATTGCGAGCATCAGCACAGCCAGTGGCTACCCATTTGATTCGTCCAGTCTCATAGTAGGTGCAATCAGTCATTCAACTAGTCAACCTGTCAGTCAGTCAGTCAGTCAGTCAGTCAGTCAGTAAGTCAGCCAGTCAGTAAATCAATATCAGTATCAATCAGTGCACACGTCACCTACTCAATCAGTTAGTCAGTCAACTGATCGATTCTCTAGTCAATCGCTAGTTTGTACGATCGGTTGTCTCTGTTCCATTGCAAGCAACGTATCGACCGATTTGGCATTCATAAAAAACTGTAAATATCAACTTATAGATACATATATATACATTATTCATATATATACATACATATATATGAAGTGCAGTGCTAATTGAATTTGAGTGTCGTGCAAAACAACAAAACAATATTGGATTGGATTGAGAAGTCCGGCGCGGAGAGAGCGGCGCACGCTGCGGTTCAGTTGGCCCAGTGGAAGAGCCAATTATTCCATCAACAGCAGCAGCAGCAGCAACAGCAATAATTATATAACAAGATCCGCCTCAACCTTGCCAATGCCCGCACTGCCATCATAGTTAATCAACAACGTCATCATCGTTTGTTTAGATTTGACACAAGTGAGTTTAGAACAATCGAAATTGCATGCTCATACAATATGCCAATAACATAGGTATATATATATATATATCATAAATATACATAACTATATGCACATTTATCTGTCCTCTAATATACATACGTATGCGTGTATCTTCAAGATACAATTCCTGTATAATATATATATGCTAGTGAATACACTTGACTTCAACTATCGATAATTACATCAATCGATTACATGGGTTTCTAGACATTTATTTTTATTTTATTTTCTACACATTCAAAATAACTGAAAAGAATGTTCATGTTCTAAGACCATCAAATTTAAGTCAAATTAGTGTTTGTATCGAAGTTCCCTCGTATAATCGATTTATTTGTACATAAACAGACGCTGGTCGCGCGAAAATATACGCGAGTATTTCAAATTACTGTATGCCCTAATTTATATACACATAACAGGGGGTATATCGCGGTTAAGAGCTATCAAATTTCCTCAAACTGTGTGGTCATCAATTTTCTACCTTTTTCCAGACAGCATTTTACCAGCATTTTCTGAAAACAGGGAGTCTCACTTAAAATACTTCTAAATATATGTTCAAAGTTGAGTTTAAAGTCGAAAAGTTCTCGGAAATCTCGCATAGATCTTTGAAAATAAATGTTAAGGTTTGGGCTTGGGTTGAAAACCAATTTGTCTATATAATCATATAAATAATTATACAAATAAAAAATAACTGCGAAATTTAATTAATTTCCACGCAATTTCCGATCTTTATGGGTGGATTTTTCAAAATTGTTGCAGCCAACTTTTAACGAAAATTGGTCGATATCTCGATATCATCGATATTTTGTCAGCTATATTTTAGAGCCTAAAGACAATATTCTTTATATTATGTGAGCAACATATCCAACTGATGAACATATATATTTCTGTCTCTGACATCTTCCCTTGTGTTTCCTCTCTCTCTCTCTCTCTCTCTCTCTCTCTCTCTCTCTCTCTCTCTCTCTCTCTCTCTCTCTCTCTCTCTCTATTAATATAAATAAATATATTCATACGTAGTGGTCTTTGAATCTCCTATTAAATATATCTCTTATAAAAATTCATAAGCGCGATTTCGTTTAGTATGTGTATGTACTAGTATGTACATACATACATACACACACACATACGCATACGCACACACAGTTTGGCAGTAGTTTGTATGTAATCGCTTAGATTTACGAGCTGTGCTCAATGGAGAGTTGGGTAGGGGTTCGCCTGATGGGAGCGTCTGGGCCATTCACAATGCACTCGAAACACTCATAGTGCAACATTCATTGCAGTGTATTGATTGCAGGTCGACAGCAGTCACTCGCAGCACTCTATCCCGCCCCCACGACACCCACTTAGAATGCATTTTGTACAATTGTAACTAGCGTAGCTCCGCCTTGCCACCCCCCGCTCTGACCAGTTGCTCAGTCGCAATCTGACAAAGCAAATCTCATGCAAATCATATGCAAAACAGGACGACAACGGTGCACGAGACGCCGCGGCGGGGTCGCCGAGGACGTTTGTCAGGCGACAAGCAATTTGTACAAACATTTGCGCAAACAAAACGCAGGCGGTCACGAGTCACCAGCCACGAATAACAAACTGGTGGATGGTGGAGCTGCAGGTGAAGGAAGGGAGACCTGTTCGGTTTGTCTGTCAGTTGGTCTGCCCGTCTGTCGGTCTGACGCTCGCGTGACCGGCAAGTTTTACACACTTGGCACACGTAATTGCTTATAAAACGACGCCGTGCCGCCAAAGAGTGCCGATAACAAACCCAAACCGTTTATAACAATTATACGAGCCAAGCAGCCATTTGGGACCAGACGACAGGGAGCTGGGGATCAAGCCGGGCTGGGTTAACTGCGTGTGTATTTGCGAGGCACTTGACCAATTAAGCGACAGGCGTGAGTGTGAAAAAGGCTGTCGAGCTGGTGGGCAGGCGATTTAGCACCCCAGCGCCCACACCCCATGGTGGGAGTGAAGCAGACTGGCTAAATGTATAAGCCCGATACACTAACACGGCGCGGCAGTCTGAGATCCCTGCGCAGCGCACCGCTGCTCAGTACGGTGCTGGAGAGCACGCTCTCGCTGACCCGCATCCATCCGATTGCTTCGCTGGAGCTGCCCGGCCTCGATTATGCAGTGCAATCGCAGTCAGCCATTGGCGGCTTCCATCATCGTGAATTAGGCACCTCCCTACGCAGCGGCATCGCAGCGATCACCGCGGCCAGCGCCAGTGGCATCTCTCAATCCCAGAGCGCGCTGCTCGGACGTTACGGTCCAAACGCCTCAATACGCAACAGCGAAAGAAAGATTGTCCAGCCGAAACGGTATGTCAATAATAATAGACCCCCGAAAGCCCATCCAAAGATCTATCTATCATTGCATTTGCTTCAGTCTTCATCTATGTTGCTCTGTATTATTGGATACCCACTGTCTACAAGTCTTGGCAAATGCCTATCAATATTATAGAACTCTTTCAACGGGCGATGTTGTGCAAGAATTTAAATATATAATCTGTACATCATCTTTCTCCGAAAAAGAATTAACATTTATTTTATTCATTTATAAATGCCAAACTCGAATGCAGTGTTGGCTAAGGCCATAGTTGCCAGTGCTATTTAACAATAGTTGATAGTTTATAGCCTTATCTCATACTGAGGATTAAACTGACCCTTGCTCACGTTTCGCAGTCTAATTTTCTTGGAACTTGGAAGCAGTTTCGTTTGCTATCTTATTATCTTTATTGATAACTTCTTAACGACAATTGCCAACACATTTTTTACTGCCAATCACGCACCGGATTCCAACGCTTGAGATTACCATCCCAGGGCAGATCCTCGAGGCCAGCCTGTGCTGCAATCGCTGCCTTGACACGATTCGAGAATTCAATGGCCGTTTCAGTGGATCGTCGCTTCAGTGCCGGCATATACCACACATCACAGATGATGGACCAGGAGGAGATAACCATTAGGATGTAGCGCAGCATCGAGCACCGAGTGCTATCCCAGAAGGCGTCGCCATAGCGTCGATCATAGCGCACTGCCACGGGATAGACGACATTGCAGATGGCAAAGCTGCCCTTTTTGAACTGCATCACGGCCGTGTTATTGATGCAAGTACCTTCCGGGAAGAGCAGTATGGGCGGCTTGCCACGTCCAGCTGCATGCAGGCGCAACACCAGGCCCAGAGCCTCGCGCTCCCCGTGCGCCTGACGCTCGAACCACAAATGCGGCGATGCCCTCTGCAGGGCGCGCTGTATCACGCCTAGAATGCCATCATGCCGCTGCCCAGTGAGGGAATAGTGCACGTCACACATGAGCAACAGCACGTCCAGGGGGCTGGTGTGGTTGCACACACAGATGCCCATGCGGGGCCGATGCTCCAGGTTGTGTATGCGTCGCACCACCGGAATGAAACAGGTGGCAAGGCGGAAGCACGACCGCAGCACTATCTGCACCAGACGCCGTTTAAATCTCCAATCGGGCAGCTGGCCCAGCACACCCGTCACCAGAGTAACCAGCAGCAAGCAGCCGGAGCAGCCCAAGGTGCGCAACGGCACCAGCAGACTGTAGCGCAGCAGCAGCGCCAGCAGCCAGATAACGAATAGACGGCAGTTGAGATGCCGCTTTTGGTGGCGCAGATTGCGCGTCAGCAGATTCCATTCGCCGGCCGGTGGCGCTGCGGCCGCAAATCGTGGCGTCACATCGTCCTCGAGCACCAGACGCAGCCCCTCGGCGATCAGGTTGCAGCACTGCTCCATGCGTGCGTTTAGCGCATCCTTGGCAACCACCTCTGTCTGACCCGCTGACAGCTTGTGTAGCTGCTGCTGCTGCTGGTGCTGGTGCTGGTGCTGGCGCTGGCGCTGGCGCTGCTGGTGCTGCTGGTGCTCCTGCTGCTTCTTGCTCAGCAGCTGGCTCAGTCGGTGATGACGTTGTCTCAGCTGCTCGTCGCAGGGCTTTAGCCGGCGCTCCTTTTGCAATTGGCTCGAGCTGTAGGCAAAAATACGTTCCAGTAGGCTCAGGTAGCGATTGTTCATGCATCTTACGGAGCCGCAGCACAAGGCTACGCCCAATAGGAATAGCAAAACCAGTTGAAGCCACATTCAGGGAACCGCTGCGTGGTGGGCAATATAAAATATATTTAATAAATATAGATATATTTTAATTTAAAATGCATCGAGATAACAGTGTTGGAAAACGAAAAGACAGTATTGCAAAATAATAACATTCAATTATTATTATATAAATAGAAAAATCAATTCAACTTTAAAGTCCCTTCAAGGCATTTGTAAATTGATCGAGTACATTTATACGGCCAGTGTTCCACAACAATATTTTTAAAAGTCGTTAATATTAATGGGCACTTTTCTAAAATGCAAAGTGAGTGCCGGCGCAAACAAAATCTCAATTAAATTTCTAATTCAATTTATTGCCTCCCTTTCGGCTTTTGCGCCTTTGTCTTTGCCTTTTTCTTGGATTTAGTTTTCCTTTTTTTCTTCTTCATTCTTTGTTTTTTTTTTTGTATTTAAGCTTTGCCGACTTTGATTTATTTAACAAGCAAAAGGCGCCAAAATATAAAAAGCCACAAGAGAAAACTTTGTCGACGTCGTCGTCTGTCCGCAGTCGGTTTGGGTTGAGTTTTGAGGCTGTTCTGCTGGGTTCTGTTGGGTCTGTATTGTAAACTGTTTTGGTTTGCCCTTATCCTTTATTTTTGGCTTTGCATATGGCAATAATTCAATTATGCACAACAAGGCCGCAAAATAATTGGGCGCCGTTTGTCGCCGCAGTCCCGACAGCCCGACAGCCCAAAAGCCTAACAGCCCGGCAGGCCAAAAGCCCAACAGCCCAACAGATTCTGATCCTGATGCTGCCGAAACCGAAATCACTTAAAAACCCGCAAAAACTTCTGGCTTTGTTAATTCGTTAATTAAATTGGCCTGGCAGACTCTCGATGACAGCTTGTAAACAGGAATTCAACTTTAAGGATTACGCAATGAAGGAGGCGACAAAAACAGCCCCCCCAATCGACGTCGGATTGCCACCACCCCATTGATGACATTGGCTGGCAGCAATCTCTGCTTATCAAAGACAAACAACGACGTCCACGACGACAACTCATTTAGGCACGCCCCCAGCCGCCCCTTCGCAACCTCCACCACCTGCCCCTAAGCCAGAAGACCCTTAATTAGCATAGAATATGTTTTAAAAAGCCACTTGAGCTAAACATTCAAAACACCTACACGACGCAGCCCCCAACCCAGTCCCAGCCACAGCCCCAGCCTCAGACCCGTGCCACCGAGACCCGCACCGACTACTGCGACCTTAGACGCTTGCGGCTAAGACATCGCGTGAAGACTCCGTGGCACAGTTAGGCAACTTTGGCAGGTTACAAGCTTTTTACCAAACGCTTGACGGCGTCGCAAATAGAACAATCTTGAAGTGCACTAATTTAATAGGTTTATTTTGAATAGATAATTAATTATAAGACCAATATCTATCGAGTTAGCAAAACAGGAATAATCAGTGCTGTAAAACGGCAAGCTCTTGCAATAAATACAGCATTAATCAGCACGGTTTTTTGTAAAGGCTTAACTTTTAAATGTAACCTGAAGATAATAGTCCAATTATGCAGCTGTGACCAGTACTTAAGAATTTCAATAGAAGAGAGAGAGAGAGCGTTCGTAATTCGGCTTGACTACATTTTTTTTTTCTAGCTGGCAGCACACAGCGCAGTCGACGCCGCCTCGGCAGCACGTGATGCTCAAGTGTTGGGATAAGCATTTCCGCTCTTCAGACGTAACGCTAAAAATGCGACACACACATACACACACACACATACACACAGAAGCGAAGGCAGCGACGCACTGACTATGAGGCTATGTACGCTGTGCTGGGCTGGGGTGAAACAGTCGTGGGGTAGGTGGATGAGGAAGCACAAAATGAAATTGTGACGTTGCTGCCACGCCCCCATGAAAGCGACTGCCCGCCCAGCTGCCATTCAAAAGTAATTTAGCGTTTAAAAAACATTTTTCTGCCTGACTTTTAAAAAGTTTTGCATAATGCGCCCGCCTCGCGTTTGTGTGTACGTTTGTGTGTGTGTGTGCGTGCGTGTGTGCGTGTGTTTGTATATGTATGCGTGTGGGTGTTTGGGGGTGTGTCAACACTCACCTGTTTAATGTGGCCACGTTTCGTCGTCTGTCTGATTCAGCTGATTGTATTATAGCACCTACTAAACAGACTGAATGGCAAAGCCTCTAAAAATTTCTGTATATTGACTTTGACGTTTCACTGACTGCCAACAAGCATGATGTAGGAAGTGTGTGCGAGTGTGTGTGTGTGTATGTGTGTGTGTGTGTGTGAAGCAATTGCTTATAAAAATCAGTTTTAGTAATCTGTAAGCACTTAAAGCTTATAGCAAAAATGTGCTGAAAGAAAACGTTGAAGACACGAGCTGGCTTCTTATTCCATATAACCATTAGATATTAGTTAAAAAAGTGTTTAATTGAAGTATTAAAATGTAACCATTAGAAGAAGACAAATCTTTAATTCTTTATAACGAGTTTAGTTGATGCTGTCCCAATGTCCGTTCAGTGTTATAAAAGTAACGCAACTTTTAATTTAACTCGTAACTCGTAACTCGCCAGTATTTTTAAAAACAGGAGTCGCAAAAGCGAAATAACTAATAGAAGAAATAATTAATTAAAAATAAACATTTAAGCAAGTGAATTTTTGAATCTCATAGATTGGATGTGTGGAATCATAGAAGAAATGCTCGAAAGATAAGTTTTTGTATGGAAAACTTTTATGTTTACTTTACTTTATCTTTTCTTACCTTTTTGCCTCTTAAAATAATAGGTCGGAAATAAAAAGGATATTAAATCTTCGCCTTGCGATAAATTGCGATGGCAGAATTTCGCGTGTGGGTACAGGATATCTGTTAGTCGAGCACTCTCGCTGAACATGCTGGGCGATCAGGCAACCCGAGTTAGGCGATTTTGATGCATGAGACTTTGCGTTATTTCGGCTTTCTTAAACACTTGCAACACTTTAGTTAATTATCTTAGAAGACCTAAAAGTTGGCCGTTTAGCGTTCATAACTTTTGAAGGAAATCTGTTGCCGCACTTTTAACTGGGCTAATTAACAAAAAGCATTTTGCCACATGTGCACATAATTTAGCCAGAAGCCCGGCTAGTTAAATGGTTTTTATTTAGCTTCTTCTTTACTTTTGGGTGGCACGCTTTTAATTGGCTAAGGCCATTTACTGGCCCCGAATGTAAATATTTGCCGGCCACAAAGAGGCTGTGCAAGAATATGAAATGTAATTCCA